AAAATAATCCTTAGCCTGATACTAACATGTTGGTTATAAGTGCACAATATATAGAGAGAAATTTTTGAAATTATTTTTTAATTACTAAACAATTACATCGATGCTTATACAATCTGCAAACGCCATATGTAATGTTAAGCATTAGCACTCAACATTAGCTTCAAAATTGGATAAATGTAATAATTAGAGTGGAAGAAATTTAGTCGAGTTATAAAAGCTAATCCAAAAATAATTTTATTTATTAAAAAAATTAGTTATTATTATTTTTATTTAACTAATAATTAGAGAATATATTTGATGAGATGCCGTGGGTTGGAAGCTTATCCAACATCCCTTGCTTCTTTTGTTTTTTGTTTTTCTTTCCCTCTGTTCGAAGTTATCTTCTTTTAAATATTAAATTATCATCACTTGAATTTTGTCTTCGAGTTTTATCGACATGAACAACGCAGATAGATAACAGTTGGTCCCTTAATATTTATAGTCACTGATTCCTCGCTAGCTACCTATATATACATATACATATATATATACGTAACCATTTTATTTATCTCTCTCTCTCTCTATCTACAGATATATATATATATATATGTATTGCTTTACAATCCACCATTCTATTTAATTAACTGAAACATGAACTTTCCAATTATTGACTAGTTTCAGTACCACTACACACATATATACAACATATAATTGTAAATAATTATTCCAAAACTAATGCAATAATTTGTCAATATATAATAATTCTGTAATTATAATGGTTTAATACGACAAACTTCAAAGAATTAGGATTGAAGCTGTGTGAACCTTTCCCAAAAAAAAAAAAAAAGAAATTAATAATTAATAATTATAATAATAATAAGAATGAAGAATAAGAGTATATATTCCGAAATTAAACATACCAATTGATATAGTAAATATTCTAAGATATAGCTGGCAACATAGCTTGTGTAATAAACACGCATTCATATATATATATATATATATATATATATATATATAATACATCGTATGTATGTGTGTGTGTACATAACCTGTAAAGCATCTATGAAGCTGTCCTCTACATATTATGTGTGTGTGTGTCTATATATATATATACATATATGTGTGTATACGTATGTATGTAAGTTGCCTATTCTATTAAACTTGTCATTATGCGTAATCATATGTCACCTTCTATTATGCTTGTACTTGCAAATAGCATGTAGTTTTTCACATTTTGTAAAATGAAAAACGTGGTTCAACACATCAATCAAAGCAATAAAACGCCCCTACTAAGGGGGGGTATCAAATTCATTGAATCTACACCGTTAGTTTTGAGAGTTGTGGATTGTACGATTATTCATACATTTTGCTCTCTCAAATACTTTTATAAAATTCCAAAATAATCAAAACTTTTAATTTTACACTTAATAATATGCTACAATCATAATATTATAGTTGTCATTGATTAAGAAATATATTTTTTTATTAAAAATATATATATATATTTCACTAAACTAATTTCATTACCTCATGAGATATTATAAATTAATTAATAGATTATGCCTCATACCCGTACCCTTACTGTGATATTAATATAATATATGTGTAATAAAATTTACGACACATTCAACAACTTACAACTTTCTTATATAAAAAAACAATTATTAACGGTAAATGTCAAAATATTAAGTCATTCATTAATAATTTATACAAATCACGGTATCTTATTATCTTTTTCTTTTTCAATCCACTTTTTCAATTAATTAATAATTAATACTTTTACTTTCTTAAATAATATATCTTTTTTCTTATTATTATTAATATGATAATTAAGTCAAATTAAATGGATTAAGTATAGAAATAAAATAAAAAATAAATCAAATTTAATATTTTATTTCTAAATTTCTATTTATTTATATTAAAAATATAGATATTTGAGTCTACAAGAAAAAATGCCTTCTAATTTTTTTTTTTTTTTTTTTGTTTATTGAAAGTAAAAAAATTTATTTTCTTTTTATTTTTTTTTAATTATTTTTTGGCTATATTTTTAATAGAAGCACAACTTATAAATTACATGTTTAATAAATAAATAAAAATTATAAACTTGTATTAAGCGAACACTTGAGCAAATTATTTTTTAAAATGTACTAATTAAAGTATAATTTGCACGGGTACTATCTGGGCCAAAATAATTGGGCCCACGGGGTAACATTGTTTCTTTAAATCTGACTCGATTGTTTTTATATTATTTTCGGGTTATTTTAATTTTGAAAATCTCAACATTAGGAATGGTGTTTGCCCGAGAGGGGATTCAGGTATTTAGTTAAAGAATGTAAGAATCGATGATATCTTACTGTAAATTTTGATATTTACTTTTTTTATCTTAAAAGTAAATTTGTTCCTCTATTGCTATCGATGCTGTTAATCTAAATGTTAAAAGGTAAATTTTTTCTTTTCTTTTTATAACGTAACATGCCATGTAAATATTAACTGGTGTTAAAAAAAAGAAGTTATGTTGCACTTCACCGCAAAGTATTTTGACGTGCATTTAGCTTCTTCTTCTTTTTTTTTCAACAATTTAAAAGAAGAATATGTATATTACTTAAAGGAAAATATTTGTATACTCTTCAAAACTAATCTAATTTAAGAAATTTTAACCTTCATTTTTTATGTTTATGGTAATTATTATAAAATATGGAGATTAAATAATTAAATGCTATAGTTAGTATGTAACTGTTGAATTTTTTTTTTTTTTTTTTTTTAATAAATATTGATGTATATTCATGCCTAGGAATAAATAAACAAAAATTGTTTACATATGTTTCAGGAAAGATGGTGCAAGGTTCTATGTGTTTGTTCTTTAATATGTTCTTGACTCAAATATGATTGATTTTGAATTTTTGAATAGAATTTAATTTTAATGGTTACCAATCAGTAAGTTATAGTTTATTATTTCTGAGTCTTTTAAAATTGTGCTTGTGAGATTCTTGATTCCCTAATGGCTGAAGCCAATTCTTTGACTCCTAAAAAGATTTGGTTGCAAAAGAAGATTCCATTACTTTAACAAAATTTAAGTTGAAGTCCTTTGAAGATCCAACTTACTTTTATCACAGGAGATTTGGTTTTGCTATTGGCTCGGGAGAGTTTGAAGTTTGTGAAGAAAACCTTTTTCTGCTCTTGTCAGGTAATAACAACTTATTAAACTAATTGGACAAATAAGAACTTAAACTTCATTAAACAATAATTTCATCTCATTTATTATTATTATTATTATTATTTATTGACTAATTAATTAATAATTTTTGAGATATTTTACCCTTCAAAGTAACAATTGATTCATCCACAAAACACAACTCCAACAAACAACACGCCATATGCCTAATTGCAAAATTGGAATAACTTAAGCCAACTTGGAAAAATAGATGCATGAAAATTTCTATGTACACAGAAACGAGCTATTCTATACTCTCAAATGGCTCCACAAGCAGCAACAATGAGAATTCATTGTGGGGAGGGGGGCAAGTATATAAAATGTGCAAAGACTTGCTCCATATTTCTTTCATCAGCGAAATGATGCCAGAGCATGAAAATTTATAAATTATAAATTAGAAAAAGGAACCTATCGTCCTGTTTAACAAGCCAAAGGTAGCTCTTCTTCATCAGTGATTCTGCAGCCGGTTTCATTTTCACGAGTCATTAGATATTATGGTTTGATGCCATGTTCCAGTTTTGATGACCCACATGTTGTCTCTCAACCAGTAGAAATGTTAGCTTCATTTCAAGCAGAGAATCTGATAAACAAACAAAAAAGCAGAAAAACTATCCTCATCAGAACCATTTCTAGCCATAGACCGTCCGGGGTAAAATGCCAAAAAGATGACTAAAGATATTAGGAGAAGAAGAATCCCTGGTCCTAGAAACACGATGAAGATTAAAATGATGATGATGCCAGGACATGAGGATCAATCTGGATGGGCCTATTTTTTCTTTTCCACCTTTGACCCACTAATCTTAATAATATATAACCTTTACATGGTTGACATTTCACTTAAATTATATGATATAATAAGATCAAAAGTTTTGAAATTATAAATTCCAAACAAAGAAAAATCTTAAGACTAGGGAAATAAAGTTTATTTGAGAGTGACTACTTGATACATTCATTAATTAAGTCTCAGAGATTCTCTAGCATTCAAGACATGATGAATCCAAAATATACTATGGGACAGTTGTAGAATAGGAAATACATGCTATACAAGTTCTACAATTGGAATGTTCAATTACCTGCCGCTCAGGTTCATAGACGCCATATATGTAGCAGATGAAGCTCCATCAAGCCTGCCAGCACTGTAAACTTGGAGATTCTCCGTATCTGGCACATTTTTTGATTTCCTACTTGTGTAGAAACCTGAATGCCCCCTAAGGTCTCTGCAAACATCAGCTGCCATGTTTATGGTAAGGGCATTCTTACTTTCTTGCTGAAATCTTTGGTTGTCTGCTTTATAACTTTCAGAATGGGTATCTTTATTAAGCATGTTGGATGCAGCACCAGGCGGCATGTGCACGGAAGAGAAGAACCTCGAATTAGAAAACCGACATTCTGTTCTCCTCCAGAACTTCGAACTCAAGAATTCTGCTCCGGGCAACTTACAACATGTATTTTTTACACCATCACCATTTTGAATTCTTCCACTTGTTAATCCCAGATCGTATGACATTTCATCCAAAGCCATCTCCAAACCATTTACACGTGACTCCAGAGAATGAATCCCACTCTGTGAGCTCCCAATAAATCTCTAGATTCAAGCAGAGTAAAAGTAAAAGTCAATAAGCACGGTACCTTTTAGATCTAAGTGCAAATATTGCAACTAAAATGAGTTGATGTTAATGGAGGATATAAGAGAACATGACAGGACAGAGATTTACGAAGCGTATACTTTAAGAGGGTAGGAAGTGCAAAAGCAAACAAGACCAATATTAACTGCGATGGATAGCAGAACACCAATGAATTGCAGTAGTAGGTTTCTATCAAGCAAATTTATCCCTTATCTCAAAAAAAAAAAAAAAAAAAAAAGAAATCAAGCAAATATCCCAAATGGAAAATCATGAAAACCAGTAAACACGCATGCAATAATTATTTTGGAAAAGGACTATAATCCCATTAGTTTCCCTAGAGCATCAGAAGTCAGAGCCCATTATAAACCATAAGAAGAAGCCCAGTGGAGCCATATAAGAATAGAGCCAAACAAATTACACAATCTATTTGTTATCAGGATTCAATTGAAAAACACGGAGGGAACACTATGCTGAGTTCAGAAAATTGACGTCCACACAAAGCCAGGACACTCCACAAAGTCCGGCATTGACATAATTTCAGTGGAGAAACAGACTATAAGGAATTTCAATAGCATACCTGGAGGAGGTCTAATAGGTCAGATTGTTGGGTTTCAATCTGAGCAAGCTGTTCACGGATCAAAGACAAATCCTCTGCATCTTTCTGGTTCTCATCAACTTCTTCAGAACCACCGGGAACAACAGCATCAGAGATTTCATCATCATTGCATGGAACCACTCTAGAACCAGATTTCAGACCACCAAATTTGTGCACTTTTTCATTAAAAAGTACACGCTTCACTTCCGGCCTGGAGTTTCCAATTTCCCCCACCTCCATAACTGTGATATCGCTTTTTTGTGTATGAGATTCATGAGAAGAAATCTCAGAAGTGGCATGGCGCGGTTCATCAATACCAGCTCTGCTACCAAAGGATCTGCCACGGTCAAGCCTGGAGGACACGACATTTCTTTGATTGTTCTTTAAGCAGCCTTCTTTCTTGGCAGTGGTCACAACTGAAGAATCAGATGGAGGAGGGGACCTGCTGTCTGTGGGGACTGTTTTCTTGGGTCTAGGGGTCTTAAAACCAGCATCACTTGTACTCTTGTTAACCGGAGGGAAGCATCCAACGACACCATTATCTGACTCCATGAGAAGACCCCAAAATCATTAATAGCAAAAGATGAATCAGAAGCATCAAGTAATACATATTCAAATCAAAGAAAAAGTCTCAAAATCATTAATAACAAAAGATAGATCGGTCCAGTATTGCTTGTCAGTTTAAATGCATTTAGCAAAATCTATGAAAAGAGCAGATGCATGTCTTAAATTTCAAACCATATATCGTGAATTGTTTTCCGATGTAAATGATTAAAAGCTTATTTTAGATATAATATATATATATATAGAAGAATATAGACAAAAATCTATCTTAAAGTACAAACAGTGTTCCAATATATAGGTAGCATTAGAAAATTGAAGATAATAAATTTTTTCCATTACCTATTGGAGAGGACTTAGATTGGGGTGAAGATGATGAGACCTCCTCAGAATCACCGGGAACCGCTTTCCACAAATCCAATGTCCGATTCATGGTCTCCCTGACAATCTTTACCTAAAATACCAATTTCATTAAACATGAGAACTAATTATCCAACTTCCGATGTCTCAATTATTTTCTATATTTCATTTTCTCAGTAACCAAAAGATATCTAAAAGCAATCAACAAAAATAGTAAGTTTTGTACCTTATCAAACCTCCTGCTTTCCAAAACCGCTAAACACGCTTTCTTGTACTCAGGCGCCAAATCCTCCTCCGCTAGAACCACTTTTCCCAGGGCTTCGGCCGCCGCCTTCCTTGCCGCCCAGTCTTCACTACTCAGAAACTCTGTAACGCACGGTACTAAAGAATCCAAGGCCACTTTGCTCCCTGCACCACCAGCGCCCACAATGCTCCCGATGGCCCCCAACAGTGCGGCCTTCGCCTTGAAAGCCTCGCTTCTCAGCAACTTACCCAATCTCGGAAGTACTTTCCTCAGCTGCTCCGCTTCCGGATCCGGCGCCGCCTCCACAGCCGCCGCCAGGCACAAAGCCGCCCCGATCTGCACATTGGTATCGTGATCATGCGTAAGCGTATCAATGAGAGGCTTCGAGAGGACGGAGAAGGACGGCTTCGTGACGCAGGAGGACATGGCGGCGGCAGCGACGGCGCAGGCGGATCGCACGGCGGAGTCAGGGTCCCTGATGCGACGTAGGAGAGTGGAAACCATTTTGGAGAGATGAGGGGAGAGGAAGTTGCCATGGCAATGGCAGAGAAGAGAGAGAAGATTGACGCACTGCTTTCTCACCGGCGACTTGGAGGAAGCATCCGTGTTATGGATACAGTTGAGAAAAGGTGAGAAAGAATCCTGCGTGAGGTTTCTAGCAATGGACTCGAGCTCCGCGGTGGCAATAGCTAGCGTGTCCCGGTCGGCTAGCTTGTTAAGACAGGTAATAACTCGCTGCTTGAGATCGTGAGCCGACGGCGCCTGCGGCTGCGACGTCGGCGGACTCGCCGGAGATCGGCTCATTGTGTGGTTAGTTGGCACACCAGTTAGCACAACTGCCCAGTGCCACACTCCTGGCGCCCTTTTTCTTTTTCGGTGTGTTATGGGATTGGAATGTGGAGCTGGCTGTAAATGGCGTTTTAAATGTCTAGCCAGGAGTGTCAATTTAAAAAAAAAAAAAAAAAAACTAAAATTAAAATTAAAATAATTTAAGTGGTAGTTAACTAGTTATGGACTAATTAATGGAATTAATTTTAAAATCATTTCAACTTTTATTTGTGAATATATATTTAATTATAAGGAAAATGATTTGGGGAAGAGGAATAGATAGAGATATAAGAATTGCAATAAATAATTATCGTAAATTTTGGGGGTCTTCTTCACATGGGAGAACTTGAGAGAAACGCCAGCTATAGTTCCATTACAAAACAAAAACATTATCTATTTGTCAAACCCAAAAATTGTAGCTTAACCTGAACAAAATGGAATTAGTGCACACAGAATAAGATATCCCAAAAAAAAAAAAAAGAAATAATTATTATAATATTAATCCAATATTCGTTATGTCCAGTTTTAATTTGTAAATTAAGTCCATAATTTAAGGATAAAACAAAAAACAAATATTTATAATATTAAATGCAATCAATGGTTTCATCACATGAAATATGTAAACTCGAAATTGGATTTTTCCACATAAGAAAATAATTAATGATTAAACTTGATTTGGGTTTGACTAATTTGTTGCTTAAATTGGGTTTGTTTGGTCTTTTACAAGAATAAGCCTAAAATAATAGTTAATGCGACACATGATAATAAGTTAAACCAATGAGCTGGTGATTGGAATATGCAAACTGTCCAGAATTTCACGTATAAACCTCTCTCAGCATAATTCTAATGATAAATTTTATTAATTTTTTCATTAACGATAAATGCTCAAGTTTCTATTTTATAAATAAAATTGTTGACTAATTTTTTTAAGAAAAAATAATTTCGTAAATTTTTATTACTTAACACCCCAATATTTAGCATACAAGGAGGGAAGAACATTATGATGATTTATGTTTAAATCCTATAAATTTTAATAAAATCATAAAAAAAAAAAATTACATTTATTAAAAAATAAAATCTTATATTCGAACCATATAAATTAAGTAAATAATTATCCAAACGTAATACAAATATTTAATTGGAAAAGGTAGGGGGGAGGGAGGAGATTTTAAATGGCGAGCATGTGAAAGGGAAATGGGAGAGAGAATTGTAAAAAGTGAGTCACGTGACAAGTAAGGTGGATATTCAATGAGCTATTTTATTATATTACCTTGTAATAATAATTTTTTACTCTTATTTTTTCAGTGGTAAAATAATAATTTTCATATTTATGAAAAAATAAAACACGATTTATATATTTTCAAAAATATTCCATTAAAATATAAAATAATTTGGCGAAAAGGTTCCCGAGAGGTTGTGTATAGTCTTTGGATGGTCAAAGTAACAAGTTGAATTTTCTTTTCATGGTCTAAAATTTTTACTTTACCTGCAAGTCAGAAGAATACAAGGGACCAGAAAATATGGGGCTTTACCTCCACTGATATTTATATTACAAAATTAGTTGTAAATAATTAAATTAAAATAAATTTAACTTATCGTCCCGTATTTCTAAAATATTTAATAATATCTAAATAATTTATTATGAATTTGTAAATTTTAATATTTAAATAATGAAAAATATAAAAACTATTATGCAAGCACCGACTTTTAATATAAACTGTGTTGTTAGAAAAAATTTCAAATCGTATCTTTTAATACGATAATGATTAACCTAATTAAATTAATTAAAAATAAAAATAAAATATTTTAATAATATAAAAGACAAAAAAAAAAGACATGAATTTTCAAACTTAACATATATTTTATACATACTAAAAAATAATTTTACTTTTTTAATATAATTAAAATTAACATAAATAATATACTATTATTTAAAATATTAATTTATGATAAATCATATCATCACATTGATAATTTTGGTTGCCGACTGGGTTTTGGTTAATTAATTAAATTTTTAATGAAATAGTTTATTTATTAAAAATAAGGAGTAACATTTAATTTAAATATTAAAAAAGTCGTAAAAATCCGCTGATTTGACCGATGAGATATCAGTGAAATCTCCCACTTTTTAATTTTTTATTCTTATGTTCCATGTGTATCCGACAGAAAGCGAGTTCCTAACCATCCGATTGATCATTGTTAAAGTTGAAACCCATTGAATCTCATCCGTCCGATTGTCTTACTTTTTTTTATTATTTTTACTCGTCTCATTTACGATCTCTTTTGGTGAAAAATGGAAAATTGCGCTGCATGTGATTGGGACCCACCCAATTGTAGGCCTCTCGAGGACACTCTACCCTACCCATCTAACTCAATAGCATCCTATAACTACGACGTTGCCACGATTTAAACTGAGATGCCCTCGTCCCGGTGAGCATGGCTACATTTTAGGTTCATTTTTGTATTTTTTTTTATTTAATTAGCAAATTATATTTCAATTTTTCATACAATTATAAAAATTTTAAGAAAATAAAAAAAAAATCTATGTTTTATTCATAGCCTATCATTTACTTCCAAAATTATGATAAATAATTTTTCGAAAAAAGCTAAATAATAACGTATTCTATTATTGTTAAACTAACATTTTATTCAAAAAAAATTCAGTAATACTGTATATTTTTTATAACATGATATAATATATATTTATATAAGAGTTTGAATTTTAAATTTTTAACATAAAAAAGGACATCAATAACTACTGGGTGAAAATCAATTGATTTCCCATTATGTGAGAGGTGTAAATTCATAGTTAGGTATTATAGTTTTACTCATTTATATATATATATATATGTGTGTGTGTGTGTGAAAATCAACTTATAATAAATTAAAAAGTAAACAAACTATAAATACAACTATTAACTTACACCGATAAAGTAAATTTTTATATTTTGAGAAATCCTAAATTGTAGGGAGGAAGAAGATGATGACACAAAATGAGTTAGAGCCCATGTGACCCTTTTTATCTCATAACAAATATTTTGGCTTCTTATGGTCTTGTGTTGTTGTTATCAGATTGTCGCACCAACCCAACCCGGCTCTCTCTCTTTTTTTTTTAAATAATATTTAATAAAATATATTATTAAAAAATAATAATTCATTTAATTATCAAAAAATTATTTAAAAAATTTAAAATTAAATTATGAATATAACTTTAAATCGATAATTACAGACTGCTTTGGAATAAAATTTAATATGCTTTTAGCATAGAACGAAGTAAATGCTTAGGGGGGAAAAGGTACACGTAAAATTAGCTTTTGGAGGATAATTTTGATTAGGGCGGTCACACTTCAATCATTTTACATTAAATAATTAATTTATAATCACTGTTAAAATAACTTCAGATAAGACCCTCTATTATTTTAATTAAAGATGCCTTAACAAAGCCCTCGAATTATTAATTTACCCACGGTAAAAGAAATTTTCACTTTTTTTATCTCGTTCAAATAAAATTAAAAAAAAAAAAAAAGAAGCTACAGTGAAAATTGAATTAGAGATTGAATTTCATTATCTGTTTAGACACAGTTCCAATCATTGCTGCAAGTTATGATTGATGCCAAAATGCCAACCTTGAATTAGTATCAAACCAACCAAACTTAACTACTAAATCTTGGACTGTCTAACAATACATACATATACATATATTAATTTCCTATCTTTACATATATATATATATATATATTTAATTTTGCAAATTTTGTTTTTTCTCTTTTAAATAATTGATCCATTATCTAAATATTTAAATTGGTAGAGAAAAACTTAACTAATTAAGTACATTTTAACATATTCTTTTAGGCATAAAAATTTATTTAACTAACAATTTGAACAGAGTTAATTTTAAATAACAGAAATAAATTTACCATGACTCGTATATTTAATTTATAATTAAAACAATTATTACAAGAGTTTAAGCTGTTATAAATATACACAATTAATAATGTATATTTATATTACTTCTATATTTATATGACGATGTAAAATTTTGAAAAAAAAAATACAAAAATTTATTTAAATATAAATTAATTTTAAAACAAAAAAAAAAGTGTAGAATGGAACCAAAATAATTATAAGCTGTGCCTGGCCAATTAATTCAATCAATTAAAGAATTAATAATTGATATCAATAGGGAAAAAGATGGAAAATGATTTTTATA